CGCTACATAACTTAGTTAGGCTTATGATGTATAGTACTATGTAGTACACCGCGCACACATTACCCCCACTACTAACTCAAGGAAAAAAGTTCGTTTTGATTATGGGCCGCAAAAAGCCTGCAAAGTAGAATGTCTTTATTCAAAAAGCCAAACTACATGACAACAACGGAGGCAGGATAACGAGTGAGCAACAACAGCAGGACCGATGACAGCGACAACGCCTGCAAATCCTCTAAGCCACAATATTTACTGTGATGGCACAGTGGGAGATGTGGGCCAACAGAAAAAAAAGGGGCGGCAATGGTGGGAATATGGAAATGGGGGCGAAAAAAGGGAAAGTCAGTCCTTGCGGTCAAGGCTTCGACGAGCTGCTAGATATTTCCTTTGAAACAGGAGTTTATACGTTTTCAATGAATTTATAGTTAACAAACTTCAAGCAAACGTAATTTAATTCTTTAGTAATGATTATTCACCAAATTTAAACTTATTTTGCATTGTTAATTTATGCAAATAAGAGTGTCAACCTTTTAAATCGTCGATTAAACACAAAATAATTGCGAAAACCAATTTATTTTTTAAATATATTCCGTAAATTATAAAACTATTTATATGTAACTGTAAATATATTTTATAACTATTATTATTGATTAAAATGTTCATATTTTTCTAGTTCCCACATATAAGTACAGTTAACAGTGCGTATGCGTAATAAGTTACTTTCAGATTGCTCATACGCACCGTTGTTTTTATTTCAATATTATTTTAAACCGTTTTGCGGGCTGAAAATTGTTAATTATGTAAACAAAAATTAAAAAGGATTTTATAAATTACATGTGTTTATTTTTTTTAAATTTAAAAGTTTGTCTAAAATCAGATTTTCCCCTATTTGTAGATATCACTCATACGCCCTGTTGGCCTTGCCTAAGTTTTGTATTTATTTTAATTTACATTTGTACACAATCGATTTATCAATGTAAATATCAATAGAAATCTAATTTAAATGTATCAGTTTGTTTTGTTTTTTATCCCCAGTCTAAAACACCTTACAGTTTTCACGTGGGTTGGCTTCGAGAAAAAAAAGAAATGGAAAAAGGCGGGAAAGCAGAGTAAGAACAACAAGGCAACAAATGATGATGGCAGGGAGAGAAAGTGGAGAAAGGGATGGCAAAAGGCAGATCTGGCAACAAAGCAACAACTAAAATTGAAAGGCAGACAAATAAAAAGTGACGAGCAACATATATAAAGAGTGGGGTGGTGGAAAAGGGATGCTCAGCAACATGATAAAGGCACAAAAATCAATTTCTGTGTCAATTTTTTCCTTCTTTTTTTTTAGGCGCCGCGTGTGAAGCAAGACGAGGGATAAAAAAGTGCGTGCGGCTTGGTAAAAAAAAATAACAAAAACTAAGCCGAGAAAGCTGAGCGGGAAAACCAAGGCCCTGAACCGCACAAAATGCCGCTCATATTTCAAAGCAGTTTCGGGAATGTCCTTGGATTTTCCGAAGCCTTTTCCACGGGAACCAGGAATTGCGGAAAGGGGGGAAAAACACAATTAAGTGCAGCAAACGCATAAATCTTTAGCACAAAATAAGTCGCCAGTCTGGGAGTTTCAGCCAGAAATGTTGCCATTGTTATTGATGAACAGAGCGATAAACCTTTAAGGGACTGCAAGGTCCATGAAGAAATTAGATATGGGTTTTGATATTTAACAAAAGAAAATAATAAATAAGAAGAATTGAAAACGAAGATACTGTTAATAAAAATACTTCATAAAAAAATACCTAATATTATGATCTTAATGATATTATTAGATGGTTTGTAATATACCTACTATTAAGTTCAGCCCAAATCTTTAGCACAAAGGATCTTATAAATTAGAAGAAATGAAAGCGAAGATACTGTTCATAAAATACTGAATTAAAAAATATATGACATGAAAAAAATACTAAATATTATGTTCCTAATGTTATCTTCATAAGTTTAATTAACTCAAACTTTTTATTCCTTATAATTATTTGTAAACCACCTACAGTTTTCTCTTTAGCAAAAAATCAGTTTGACCCAACCTTTCTTAAATTTTATATTTATTTTCCACCCAAATGGAGTAATAAAATCCCCCAGATTAGAGAGCAAATTCTCCGGAAAATGCAAAATCCCGCCTCCAGAGGTACATGGCGACCAAGAAAATGTGGGCGCACACTGGGTGGGCGTGGCGCGTTGAGGGAAAATATTGCTGACAAGCCCAAAAGCGCAAGGAAATTTACGAACGAGAGTATTTTGTGTGGTACTATCATATATTTCGTAGTCCCTATTTTGCATCTCGCATTTTGTAGTTTGATGTTGTGTAGTTTTATATTTATTGCATTGTTTACCCAGCACAACAAGGCAATGACAAGTTGGCCCATCTACTGTTGCCACGCCCTCGTTTTTTGAATTTCCAGGGGGTGGTGGGTGGAGAAAGGGGTTGTTTGTCTTTTTCAAAGGAAAGTCACACGTTATTTATGTGAAAGTCTCGTTTTGTTGCGTGTCTTCTCATTGGATTCGATTTGACGCGAGTGCTTTGATTATTTTACAGCCTTTTTTGCTTTGATTTTTCACCCGAATTTCCCTCCCCTTTTCTTGCCACCCGATTTTCCCGGGCTTTTCTTGCTTTTCTTTCGAGTGTGCGTTTTTCTGCAGTCTAGCCGGGGGAAATTTATGCCGACATCGCCTATATTTATAGACACCTTCACCTGTCTTGCCAAAAGTCACTTACGAAATTAAATTTGTTGCCGCCTATAGCCCCCTCTCTTTCTTCCTATCAATGGTCTATCTCTTTCTAAGAGATCCATTGCAACAAATACAAATTTCAGATTGTCAACAGATTGTTCTAAAAGAAAGCATTGTCAATTATTTCACTTTGCTCACTTTTCGCTTCAATCGATGGGTAATGTTGGGAAATGAAAAACGGAAAATGCCAAAGAGAAAGTGGTTCGGGGAAATGACACAATATGGGTAACGGTTATGTGATCATAATATAAGGAAAAAGAGTTTTCCTTGATTAGACAAAAAAAATGTCAAGGGTTTTAAAACGCTTTTAACTTTTCTCATTGAAAATTAAAATCCTATCATAGAAAAATCAGTAACTTTTCGGTTTTGTTTACCAATATGAAGAGCTTGAAAGCCCATTAAAAAATCCTGGGAAAATTATTATATGGCTTACTTGTAATTAAGTAAAGTGCATCTTTTTATTTAAGGACCTAGTTGTATATAAAGTAAATGCCATTACATTTTGCTTACTATAAACCAACTGAATAAAAAGTGTAGTAAACACGGTGTAAAGTTAACGAACTTAAAGAAACTGTGATTCATAGAGAAAAGTTTTTACTTTCACTTCATTTGCCTTCACCCGGGAAAGTTATAAAGGTGCGTAGAAAGTAATTGGGACTGGGTTTTGAAAAGTTTATAATGTAACTGGGGCTTGCTTTCTTTACTGTCTGTTATCTTTTCTTCCACGAAAATTCCACTCTACGTGTATTTATTTACTTGTCCTCTGTGGCAACATTAACAAGTTTGTTTTTCGTGGGAAAATAAACCTAAAATTGAGAGTAGCCAAAGGAAAAGCAGGAGAAAGTAGGAGTAAATGGAGGCAAAGAAAAACAGAACCAGAAACATGTCTTTGGCATATTAATAAATAATATACCAGAATTCTCATGGGCATATTATCATCCACTCCCTGTCTTTTTGCCTCATATATTATTTATATTATTTTATTGTGCATTACATCGTTGACAAAATGTTGTTTTCACCACAGTCTAATATATGAACATTTTGCCAACAGGGATTCTTTCGTTTTCAACTAAGGAAATATTGCAAATTAAATTAACATCGCTTATGAATTGAATATCTTGTTGTTTTTTACTGTTCCGAAATGTTATTATTACAAATATATCCTATTTATTTACATGTTTCGGAATCAGATTTCACAGATTAATACAATAACATATTTTTGTCTCTGCAAAAAATTATGTCTATTGAATTTCTTTAAAGTGAAGCGTAAATATGATTTAATGTCGTTTTTCACACAGGCATATAATTAAAATATATTTACGCTTCAAGGTAATTATTGCTATTAAAAAAAGATTTTATTTCAACGGAAAATGTTATTTTGAGCTATTTGTATTAATAAAGTTGTAATAATAAAGTTGTAAAGTCTGGTTAAATAAATAAGAAGACATATTTATAAATGTTTTTTTTAATTCAAATGTGTGAAACACAACGATATGTTTCAACAAAGGCTCCCATTCATTTAATTTTGTAGTCCCATTAAAAAAACAATCATTGTATAAAAAACCATTTAAAACATTCACAGGAAGCTTTTATTTAATTTTCCCTCAACCTTTATAAATGCAATTCAAAATCATGTATTCCATTTTAAGTGTTGTATCTCGAAATGGAATAATTTAAACTTAATTTAATGATAAACGCATGAATAAATTGCAATTTTTTTATTAAAGTTGGGGGAAATTAATTTAGCTTAAGCTTGTGTAGGCGGCTTTATTATTTGTAAATTCCATTTAAATTGCCACAAAGGCGAGTGCAATGAATTTAAATGAATTTCGAGTTTGGTTTTAAATCGTTTTCCGATCGAATTCCGCATTTCCCAGCAAAATGGCTGTGTGTGGGCGGTGTTTAACCCATGCTGGCCCCACTCATTCTTACAAAACAAATATTTGCCATGTCACAAAGTTGCGAATACTTTTGCAGCCAGTTAAAAAAAATAGTAAAAAATAGATAAATAAATCACAGCGAAGGACGACGATTTTGTTGTTGTTGATTGTTGATTTTTTAGTGGTGATTAATGCAATGTTAGTGTGTGTGTGTGTGTGTTGAGCAATTTTATGCACTTGCTGCTGGAATTTTCCTTCCTGGCTTTTCCACTCGCCTTTTTTCCTGCTGTTTGTTTTCTTTGTTGTTTGTGCAGCGCACGGTTTCATTAATTATTTATTTATTTGGCTACTCACCCGCAGTTGTTGTTTTAGTTGTTGTGGTAGTAGTTGTGCTAGTTGTTGTTTTTGTTGATTTTTATTTTTGGTTTGATGTTTGATAGTTGCCACAAATCAATCAAATACCCAACTCGAATATATATAAATCGGTTTGTTTATGGAAATATATATATTTAAGTATTTTCCTATAGACTTCGTTTCTTATTTTTCTTGGTTTCTTTTTCGCATTTCATATTGTTTTTTCTTTTTCTCAGTGCATCTATGATTTATGCCACACAACAAAATGCATTACTTTTGCCTCTCATGTCATGTGTAAATTATTAAATTTATTTCATAATTAATTTGCTTAAACATTTATTTATTGCCTCTGCCGTTTTGTTTAATCTGCCATTTTTGATTTATTTAGCCAGGGAAATCAAGAAAAGAACAAAGGAAATGTTTGGAAAAACACACACAAAAGGTATAGTAACAATAATTTAATGCAGTCGTTAAATACAAGTGTAAACAAGTTGTTACAATTGTATCTTCTATAAACAATTACCAGGAAAGCAACTATTAATCTTTGTGGTTTCGTTGAACAATAAAAAGTCTTGCACTTAATTCTTGGCGTTTTAAACACACATCTCAAATGTCAGATTGGAAAAAATATATTATGGACTTCCATAAGATGCCAAAAAAATACAATTCCCAGAATAATACCTGGCTGCTTAGCGGCTGTCGTTGCCTGCATCGATCTAAAAACCCGAGACTGCAATAATAATAACAATAATAAGCACCGTCTGAAGGTGGCAAATATTTATGCACATAAATCGCCGCCGAATGTTGGTGGCCAAAAGTGTATTACACGCAAATTACATGCGCTAAGGAATAATCAAAGCAATTTTTAATTTTATTTCGTACAGCCAATGCATTTTTCAAACGAAAAATGCCTTTTGTTTATGCCATAAAAACGATGAAAAACGACCCAAAATGCTAAACAAAATGGTTCATGAATGAAAATCAACGGCCAGAAGTGAATGAGTGTCGCTCTCTGTGTCCATATATTTTCATTTTAGCCATTCTCTGGCTGATTTGTGATTTTGTATGACGCTTTAAACACATTACGAAAATCAACAAATAATGTTTATCGATTACATGAACAGTGAGCTGCGCGTTTTGTACCCCCCCGAATTTTCCTCGAATTTTTTTTTGGACATTTGGAAATGGACTTTGAGCCTTTGATTCAACAGCAAATCTCGGCTCTTTGAGTCAATCAGATTTGCATTAGCTTCAGTTCAAAGCTGAGCCTCACTCAATGGCTAATGGAAAATGGAGAAAATCAAAGGGAAAGCGACAAATGAAAAGCCAAGTCGCCCTTGGACAGTATCTGAAAATCCGCGATGATAGAAGGCCTTGAATTCTAGGCCCAAAAAACCCAAAGAAGTGTGTTTAAGCTTCATAAATGACTTTATAAAGCGGGTAAAAAATGTATAAATAATTTTTTTTTCTAATTAAATACTTCATATTATTTCTTGACTAATAAATGTATTCAAATATTTACGAAACATCCTGAATATCCTTTAATATAAGCCCTTAATGTCGCCAACAAAAATCCTGGCAAATACCACCAATTAAGCTGGACTTTATCGCATAACATCTCGCATTCCTTGGCCCAGCCTTTAATTCTGCAATTTCCATAAATATTTTTGCAGCATTTGCGAAATTCGCAGACATTTGCGGATCGCAATTCGCACCGCAGCTGCGGCCCAAGCGGCGTATGTGTAATATTTCTAATGCCCCAAAAGGCTGCGTTGCAGATGGCCAAATGAAATGCGCTTAAAATGCTCCAGCGCACACACGGCGTATGAGCAACATTTTTATAATTATGCGACGGCAGCTGCAAGTTAAACACACCAAATGCAATTAAGTGCTTGAAACGGTGTTTTCTTTTTCCCGTTTTAATTTTTTTTTTGGGAATTTCCCCGCTTTTCCCTTTCTTTAATTTATATATTTTCGTTTTGGTTTTGTTTTAAGCTTGCCTTTCGTTTTTGGCTTTGTTTTGTTTTTTAATTAAAAATTGAAACTAAAGCGCCCAAGCAGCTTAAATATTTAACAAGTGAACAGGAATGGCGTGGGCCAGTGTGGGGTTAAAGGGTTGTGGTGGGAGGGGGGGATGGAGGGTTAAGGGACAACCCATGCAGAGACAATTAGAAATGCTTTTGGGGGCGGCTGGGGGGCGTGGCTGGCGCGTGTGGCAGCCAGTTTTTATGGGAAAAGAAATTCCATTTTATGGGAATGCCATTGCATACTTTCGGGAGTTGGCAAGTGCTAGGCGAGTACCACTTTTATAGGGTGTGAGCTGGGTCCTAAAGTATTTCGGCGACTGCTTTTCATTTTACCACATATTTTGTCACCACTATCTGCTGCTTAAAGTTTTTTTTGTGGATATTTTTGCTCCAAGGTTTTAGTTTGACTTTTATCACAAAAACATAATAGCCTTTTTTAATAATATAATATAATATTAAGATCGTATTTAATACCTGAAAACGAAACTTTAGGGCAGGCTACAAAATAAACTTGATTATAAAAGCGTTTCTCCATTATATGTTTGGTTGATGTTAGTATATTACTTTACTTTCAAGAACTTGTACTAATGATTTGTTATTTTTCCCGAGTTTAAACAATTTTCTGGTTATTAAAATATATTTAACTCCGTTTTTGGTCGGTTTTGAAAAACATTATTATCCAAATAAAGTAACCACTTGTCAAGATTTTCCCATTTACACCCACACAAAACGCTCAATTACAGGGTACATTTGAACCTAATCCTTTGAATGCCCTAATGGCATGATGCCCGGCAAGCATTTGTAATTAATTTGGCACAGGCACAGGCTTAGTTTTTTGTTTGTCGAACAAAGCAAATCGCCGGGGAGCACACACATGCAACGCTGGCGGCGCTGGGAAAATCGAGGAAAATTCACGGGGGGGAAAAACGCTGAGGTGCGACTGAAACATTCGGGGAATGAACACTTTAAGCCCAAATGGTTTCATTCCGGGGGCAAACAGCAAGCGGATTGAGCCATGGTCCATTCCCACAGCCGATGCTGTCTGATTGCGGCCAGGTGCTAAGCCGATTTGGTTGCTGAATAGGCTTACACTATTTAATTTGCCATCAAACTATTGCCAAAGGGTTTGTTTTTGGCCAGTGTTTGAGCTTATTTATAATTAAATAATTGGATACTTTAAAGAACTTGAGAATGCAAGGACAAACCCTTTTAAATGGGATTAAAACTTAGACTCGGACTTAGAGTTTTGAAAATAAATAACCACTTGTTAATTTTTCAATTTATTTAATTTATCAATTATTAAAATCTTTTATAACAATTTTTTAACACTAAAAGCAGCTATGAAATTTGCCTTTTAAGTATATTACTTGGCAGAACTTTCAAATACTCTCCAGAAAATTCATAAAGCACTTTAAATCATTTAAAATTTGTTATACATTCTATATTAAATGTAACGGCAGGAATGACTTTAAGTCAATAAAGAAGCAAAATAGAAACAAACTTTCCGAATAAAATTCAAGGACTTCGAAATCATTTCAAAAATAGCTTACTATAAAATAACTGAAGCTGAAACTTAGGCCTTTAAAATACTTCCATATATATATCATAAATTGTAATGTTTTTTCAGCCATATTTAAATAAATTTAACCAATTTTCACAGACACTGGCAAAGACTTCCAAGAAATTTCGAATATATTTTAGAAAACTCTCATGGCCTTTGCATCAAAATTTAACAGCAATTTTAGTGCTTTTTAAAACGACTTTTTTATAGGGTATTTCATCAATTACGCATTCATTTGTGTTATTTAAGATAAATGTTTTGAAGCACTTAAAAAAATACATCAGAACAACTGGGAAATTCGAACTTTTCCAATGAAATTTTGTTTTACATTCGATCACCGAAAAAAAATGGTTTAACCAAAACTCACAGCAGGAATTGTTCTTAATTTTTGTATTACAATTTCGAAAATGTCTTTAAAAATTTGGTTTTTAGACCCGCGCCAAATGCCAAGACGACGAGAAATTTTCCCAGATTTTCCCCTGTTTTCTTTCTAGTATTTTTTCGCTAGTGGAGCACGTCGTGCCGTCGGCAAAGCTGAACGAGAACTGAAATCAGAATCAGAAAATGCGTTGGACGATGCCGAAAGGCGAGAAGCGAAACGAAGTGAGTCGAAGTGCGGCCAAAGGAGAGCGGTCACCATTTTCCCGCTTTTCCGACCATCTCGCATGCGAGATTTTCTTTGGCGCGCTGGGAAATTCTCAGGGCGCAACGAATTTCCCTTGTGACGCAGCAAACGAAAGCGAATCTGTAGGTTCGGCTGGCGTTTTCATCTGGGCCGATTTTCTATTTGGCCAGAGAGAGAGCATCACTCGGTCTCGCCTTTCTTTGGCCAAAAATGTGGGCCTACCTGTTGCTTAGCAACTCGGCCAAAAGCGAGGAACTGGTAGCTGGGAGCTGGCATTTCGCGGATTGGCTTGGGGTAGGCAGTAAAGCACTCATTATTCCATTGTCGTGGTGCCAAAAAAAAGTTTGACTCTCGCAGCCCAGCCAGCTGTTGCCAATAAAACAATCCAATCGTGGATAATGAATATGAGTTTATTTTTAAAATCATTCTTAAGCCTTAAAGATGCTGTATATTTTATAACAAACTGCAACAGTAACATAAATCAAACCAAATTGGTTAAGCTGCCTTTACTTAGTACAACAAATAAAAACTCCCACTGGTCTTTTCAGTTCGAAGGTAATGCTACTCCAAGTTTTCTGACCCACTTATTGTTATTTTTTTTAAAATTAATTATTAATTTTTTATTTTGTTTTTAGATAGTACATATGGTGCGAAATAACATAATAAATAACAAATAAACAAATTCTCAATTACCTACCAAAAATATACAGAACAAATTTAAAAAAATAATAAATACCCAATTGCCTGCCTTTCTCTGCGCTTCTCATTCCGGCAGTTAAGCTCCTTCTCATAGCACTTGCTATCATGTTTCTCTGGAGTATTTACAGCAAATTACTAGGCACTTAATTGATTCGTGTGCAGAAAATAAGAGACAGGGGGGGCACTCAAATGGTTTATAATTCCCCAGCTGGTTTTCGAATTACTGACTGCAATTGATTCGCCAACCAGCGTATGGGCCCCCTCTTGAATGCTATCATCGGTAGCTCATTTACATGCGAATTTGCCAAATGTCATTTGGATATTTTGACAGTCGAAGGCAGCTGAAGTGAGCATACGAAAACAAGGAGCCATATGTTTGCACAGGCACGAAAGTGGGACACTTTTCCAATCCCTCTTATTCCTATATCCTGACCCTCTTCAAGTGCCAAAGAAGTCTGGCCCGAAATGATAATATTTTCTACAATAAAAATTGTGCTTCCAAAGAAAATCTTCTTCATATTTTATTTGGTATTACCAATTTATTAAATTATATTATTTACTTTTTAAGTCTATAGTTTAATTTTTACAAGCCTCCTATTTTAATTTAAAAATCGTGTAATTATAATTATAATATATTATAACAAAATAATAGGTTACTATTAAAATCCTTTATTTGAATTATTTTCGAAACTTAGAAATATTTATCTAATATAGAGAAACGATATCTCTCTTTAATATCTTAAGTTTTTTTAATGGCAGTGGTATAAACAAAACTAGCACGAAAAGCAAGAGTAAGACTAAGAATGGCAAATGCCACTCAACATGCCAAATACAAACACAGAACTGAAACAAGAACAAGGTGGTAAAAGGGGGCGTCGAAGGGGCGTGTCTTTGGTTGTCTGGAAGGGGAATCCCAGGGCATATTGAAGGCAGCAGAAGTGTAAACAGGAAACGTGATATTTGACAGATGAGTGTAGATATTTAGATACCAACATAAATACTACTTATGCCTTGAGAAACCACCCTGTGCAACCATTCGTTGTCTCAGCCCCCATAGATCCCGCCCAATCCCTAAATCTTCAGCCCCCTTTTCTACACTGGCAAAAAGTACCAAGTGCTTTTAATAATTAATTGCAAAAATACCACGAATGTAATTAAATTTTAAAAAATGTTTTTATGACAGTATAATCCGATGGCATAAAAAATATATCGCTTTAAATAACATTTTAAATATAAAACAAATATAGTTGCCTTAAAGCCATATAATTTAATAATTTTAAGGGAAGTGTAAATATGTTCATTTTATATTTGAAAATAATTTCTATATGACAAAATATTTAAAAAAGGACTTGAAATAATTCATATTCATAGGGTATTATAATTTCAATATAACAAATTATTTAAACATTTGACTAGCATAAAAAATTTGTCTTTTATCATTAGTTGTAAATTCTTGAATTTGACATTTCTCACAACTAGATATATTTTTGTCGCAGTGCACCGAATTCTCCAGTGTTTGCCGACTCCTCCGCAGTCAGTGTCTCTGGTGTCTTATTGATTTTCTGCTATAGCTTTCACTTGCCGCAATTTGAAGTGCCACACACAGATACTCACGCACACAGACACTTACACAGGCACGCAATAAAACGAAAATGAGATGAAAACGGAGGCACCAAGAAGGCAACGAAAGGAAGCAGCCACAAAGAGAGACATGATGCGAAAAGAATCGAATAGAAGTAAATATTATGATGGATTAATGCTTTTCCAACCCATGCTATTGCAACTAAAAGTATGCTAATACTTACATATTATACTTATAATCTAAGTGATTGAATAATCTTAAATAACAATATTTTTATTCTTCTTTAGATAACTCAATCTTTTCATAATAAACATTATTTAAATCCAAGTATTAATGTTCATTTTTTGTGGAAAAGCCAACATAATTCATAAATTTGAGGGTCAAATATTTATAATAATAAATAAATATATTAATTTTAATAAGCAAAAGAATATTTTTGGTAACGTCGAAACATTTTCGACAGTATATGTTTCATTGTTTTACCACTTTATCTGCACATACAAAACCAATTTGGTTCCCTTTGCCACTCGGGCGTATGCTTGATAAAATCCATCGAGCGCCGAAACCGCACGGAAGGCAAACCACAGTGAAAGCCCGCCACAGAAGGACGCAGAATATCTGATTTTCCTTTAGCGATTTTCCACAGCACTTGAGGAGAACTCGAATCTATTGTATACTTTTGCGGGCTGTGACAAATGTTGAAGAGCTCGCTTAACCGGAAATTAATCAATAAAACCGCTTTGACTGTGGCCGACAAAGTCATATATCCTCAGACCCCGGTTCTCAAAGGGGTCTGTGGTTACAAAGTGTTTAATCGAACCGAAGTAAACTAATTAGTTCACAATTAATTACTAGGATTTGGATTTATGAATTTAAGGTGTGTAATGGATTTACTTATGGTGATTTTAAGCCATTATAAGGCTTTGGCAATCTTTCTACTTCTTCTACTTATTTAATTCAATAAGTATCTTTAAGAAATCCTATAAGTTTATTTGATTATGAAAAAATTATATAGTGTTATTTAAGCCACATATAAAGTAATTTCCCATAATAAAAGTACCCAATCAATAAATACAATAAATTAAAAAATAATTAATCAGTTCAATTCATATTAAATAACCATAATTAATCACTGACGAAGTAAAGAACAATTTATTGTTCACTTCTGTTATTTCACACTAGAGTGCTTTTATTGGCCCTCCCAAATAGTTAATTATAAATTCCGTATACCCAGCATGGTGAATTAAAATATATAAGTATTTAAATCACAATACCCACTGATAAAAAGAATATTTATGGTATATGAAACAAGTATTCATTTATCTCCCCGTCAATTGCGCACTTGAAGTTTAATGACTGACAGATTTCCATTCAAGAGCACCCTCTCTTTTCTGATTTTATATTTCACAGCGAAACAAAGAAAATACTTTAAAAAAAGTGGGTATATATAAAACGTACGATAACGAGCGAAAAAAGGAGAAATAGGTAAGAAAAATATGATATGGAAATGAGTTTGCATTTTACTCACAGTCATAATAGTCGTATCGATCCGCTTCGCTGGGATTATTGCTGCCCATGATTTTGCCAAAAACTGTGGATGAAGAAAAAAGACGACAGTCGGGGTGAAAAAACAAGAAAACGATTTAAGACCGGCGTCCAAAGGGTTAACAACAACGTGGACAGCACTAACAAAACGAGGGAAATCACAGCCATTCAATTAAAATCGCTGACACAGAGTCAAAGTGATGGTGGACTGAGGAAAATGGGGCAGGGGAAAGCGGGAAAATCGAAGTGAAGCTGGCGGAGATTGGGGCAAATGAAAATAGACGTTAAAAGGCTTAAATGGAAATGCAGTTTAAGCAATATAAGACATTTTTTTTTGGTTGATGGAAGGAAATAAATTTGTTTAGCTTAGTTAAAATATTAAAGTCAAAGTGAAAAAAAAATATGTCAATAAAAAAAATATTAAATATTTATTTTCTTAAGTGATAATAATAATAATAAAAATTATTTTTGTATCCATTAAAAGATGCCATTGCCAAGTCTTATATTTCAACATTTAAAAGAAATCATATGTACTTTTTAAGAAGATATAGGTACTAGCTGTATTAAAAATGAATAAAGTACACCATTATTATTATTATAAATATGTTTTCCTTATTTACTTATTATTAAAAATTAGGATCTTAAATAATCTACCATTAAAAGATGTTTCAAAAGTTATACCATCTCAATTAAATATGAACACGAATTTTCCTAGACTGAAAAACAGGTATATTCTGTTTTAAAAAATCCAAAAAATTAAAAATATTTTTGGAAATAAATATAATTTTGTCCAGTGTTGAAAAGTAAGTGTTTTTTAATTGCTTAAAAATACTATTTTTTGGCAACTACTCACGTTTGGCGAAGGTCCTGCGGACGCGCAGCAGGCAGGATCGCGAGCGGGACAGGCGGACGAGGTCCTCCGGATGCGATCCGTTTTGGATGCAGATGATCGGCGCCAAGGGCGCGATGCGACAGTGACTGCGACTGTGACTGCGACTGCGACGTCGTCGTTCCAGCAATGGAATGGCCACGAAATTCGACGCCGGCTGCAGTTGCAGTTGCTGCTGTTGCTGCAGTTCC